CGGTTTGCTCCGGGCGTATTTCCTCTCCCCTCGATCCCTCTCGTCTGCTGCCTACACGAAAAGGGTAGGCAGAGAGCCGCGTGCGCTCACACGGCGGAGACGCGTGTAACGCGCGTGCACGAGCGGCCGCCGGACACGTCGCTTTAATCCACCACGCTGATTTACTTACTGATTTACGTACTGCTTACAAATACCAGCGAGCATGCTCGCGGATTAACACGTCGATCCTTTGTGTTGTACGTACAAGGTGTAAACCGCTTGTCGTCCACGGCCAGCTCGTTCCGCGGAACGCCATTTCCGCCGCGAGTTATGCGAGCTGCGAGGATGTCCGCCTCGAGGAACCTTGCTCCGCTTAGCTCCGCGAATCGCGTGCCGTTATTAGATCGAATAGATGAAACGATACCCGTTAAGGATCTTCTGATCTAATGGCTGATCAAGGACGTGTATGTATGTGTAATTAACGATTGGTGAACGCTCATTAATTGAAGGAAATTGGAGGATGAGAGCAGGATACGGGCTTTTGCTTCTAAATGTATCTAAATTCATGTAAATACAGTTGCTTTTTAATAAGATAGTATTAAAAAAGAATATGCGGCACGAAAATAGGGGAGGTAAAAGCATAAATAGAGTATAATAACAAGGTTCGCAGTGGCTGTTGTTAAAGCTAACCATCGATTGGGTTTCGATGTTTATCGGTAGCAGGAAGGTTATTAAGTCTACATTGTGCGTGCTTGTTACTCCGACCATTCGCTTAATGGGAAGTTGAAGAGATAAATGAAGCGTATTTGTTGCTGCAACTTTGCTACCTTTAAGATCAACAGATTTCAACCCCTATTACCGTGGCAACTTGATAAGTTTTGCGCCGCTGGATAGTTTTGAAAGTTGATTAGTCGTGAATACAAATTAATGGGGCTGATAAGATCTTTCTAATTCTGCAGACACCTGTTGTTTCAAATCGTCGAGATTCTTTTCGAAAATCACAGGGTGGAAAGAAAAGTAAGAAAAATCATGGGACGGTTGATATTTGTCGATCCTCTTGCGGATCGAAAGCTGCGTAGAAACGGGCGCCGATCGTCGTCGACATTTTGAAACCGGTCTTCGAGGTCTCGGAACGACTCCTACGCTTGCGAATAACCGAGCACGCTCGCGATTCGCGCGGTCGGATCGATCGACATGCGTCGAATTCTCGCTGACGCGGCGATTTCCATATGGCGGCACGCGTTTCAGAGATAAGCATCGATATTCCTCGCGAATGCGTTTCCTCTCCCCGGCCGAAAGATACCGCGACGATAACAAGCGCGGCCGCGTGCTTCGGCGAGAAAAGGAGTGCACGGATGTAACGTAGGTGCAATTTCTTCGGGTTTTTGCTCTTTAGGGAAGCCGAACCGTACGGGGGCTGTTTTTAAAGTACACACACGGCGGCGTATCGTGTTATTACCGGGACGCATGATGATAATAATTACGACGCATAAAGTACGTAAGTTCCCGTGATCTTTCGCGATTCCAGATAATACCGATACGTTCGTTCGGGAGCCAATGGGAAGTTCCGTCCGTTACATGAAATATTACCTTTAAGTAATTATTTAAAAAATTTTTTAATTCGGTTCGCGAATCCGTAGATTTTCTCGGAAGAACATTCAATTTTCACTTCTTAATTCTTATCATTTAACACGTTGAACGCGATGGGGGTCGCCTACACACGCCTAAATAATTAAAAGAAAACAATAGAAAAACATTATTTTAAATAATATTGCTATGGTACAAATAATGTGAAATGGCAAATAGAAAGCTTGAAATTTGGAAAATTAACCGTACCCTTAAAAAATCCCAGAGAAAAACAATGAAAGCCCCACTCGGTGGTACGATATTCGTCGCCGAATATCTGCCTCCAAGTCTCTCGACATGGCGAATCGACGGAGTAGCTATCAAGCTGATCGAGTCGTCGTTTAACGAAGAAACAAGATTTCGTGGACGGATAAAAGTGGCGTGAGTTTACAGGGGGGGTGGTCCGATTCCCGCGGTCGTGATCGACCCGAGGATTTGCGGATATCGAGACGAAGCGATCGAACTCGCGAGGGACAGTCGTGAAATCCGTGCCCGAAAGAAACCGCCCCGGTGTCCATTTGTACGTCGGATTAAGACGTTTTGAATTTCGTTCGGAACGAACCGAATGAAAGACACCGGAAGGGGCAAGGTTGGGGGAGGAGGAGGAGGCGCGAGCGAGTCATCGTGATCGTATGGGCCAATCGACCGACTGCCAGATTAGTATCAGAACCGAAAAGCTTGATGGGAATTAAGACGACGGCGCCCATGTCAAAGCGGTAATGCATCGAACTGATTCTGCTCTCGCGATACTTTAGCGCGAAGGAAATGAACGACGAGAAGAAGAGAGAAGAACAGAGACGAGGATGTTCTTTTTGCTCGTGGATCGCATCGATCTGTGAGAATTCGCGAGGCCGAACCATCGAATCGATTCGCAAACAACGAGCTGCGAATATTAATTTTCAATGGAACCATCTCATTTGGATGCATCGTGCGTTATCGGATTTCCATACTTCTCGCACGCTTATGTACCCCCGAGCGTTATCGCGAACGATTCGCGTGGGAAGGTAAAGGTTGAAGATAAGCAAGACTTTGCACGACTCAATCGGAGTGGCAGTAGGTGCTGCTATACAGAGGCTATTGTGCCACCGCCGATAATCTGCGACTGAATGAAAGAGTCGATAGACGAGTAATCCTCCTGCAAACAGAGAGGTGCATATAAGGGAATTTTTCTTCCCTGGTGAGAAGTCAGTCCAGTCGGTTTCCCTTCGATCCCTTTACACTTTATCATTTGTGTAATTTTCAAATTATTTCATATTCCTTAATTATCAGGTTAAATGAAATTTTCATTTTCATCGTATTCCTATTCTACTCGATCGCTTTATTCCGAGACACTTGCCGAACGGTCCGAGAGACATCGGAAAGTAGAAAGGAACATTTCTCCTTGCCTGCGAAGATTGATCCACAGATACGAACTCTCGTCCGTCTTCGTCCACAGGGATGTTTCCTCGATTAGCGTGTACACGGGCACCGTGTCCATCGACCAGGTGTCCCAGCGGCTCTTTATGGACGAGGAGAGGCAGCCTGGGAAACGCGAGAAACTGCCAAATCGAGAAATGCCAACGACGACTGTCTTCGGGTGTAACGAGCCTTATCTCGATGACCTTTCGAGAGAAAAGTTCAGGCAGAGAATAATAGGTCGATTGTACGCTCGCCATCGATAAGTGGCTTACAAATGAAGCCAGTGACGAGGAATTTTTTTCTCGCGACCGAAGAGAAAACAGCGATGGATGCAAGTAACAACCTGATGCTCCTATAAAATTACAGTTAAACGTCGATTACGCGAATCATAAGACAGGAAGGCAAATCATTGCTGTTCGTTCTCGCCTCGAAGCAGCCTCGACGGAGAAATTTTTCCCTGATTCGTCGGAAGAAGAAGAAGAAGAAGCGATGGTGGCAATTATCCGCGCTAATAGGAACGCGCGTTCGCGTGTAGGACGAAGCGATGTCTCGCCGCTATCGGGCTCGTTTAATTGGACCAAATTACAAGGTACGTAATGCGCGAGTATCGCAGCCGCTGCCTTGCGGATACAATGTATATGTACCAATGGTGCCGTACTGACGCCCTGGGCCACCGTTGAAATATTACGTTTTTTTACCGTTAACCCGACGGAGACGGTTAATTATCCCGTTTAAGGCGGAGGTGAAAAGTTTTAGTCACCTCCGCCGGCTTGCACGCTCGAGCGAGAGAAATACATAACGGAAGCGCGACGAGGACCGTTTCGTGAGTGCCTCGTAATGCTCGCGAAATTGCGCTCGTAAAGCGGATTCCAGCCATTTCGGCGAGTTTCTCCCGTGGATGAGAGGCCAGCTCCCCGGGGCCTCCCGTGATTGACACTCCCTGCGCCGTTTCTTTTCTTCCCTTCCCTTACCGATCGCGCACTCGCGTGAATTTGTAATTAATGAATGTGTAATTAAGGGATTCGGAACACTTTGAAGTTCGCCAAACGAAAGGATAACTTTGTACAGGATCTTCGAACGTTCCAGTTTCGTTCTCCATGGTGCCTCGTTGGTATTGTCTTTGCCTCTTGAAACACCCTGTACACACCTGCAATCACGCATCGCTTAACCTTAATGCCGCCCGTTCGCGTTTCATCGACAATGTTGCGCGCGGTGAATTAAGCATACGAGGTCAAGAACGCGGCTCCGCAACACGCTTGAAATCACTCGTAACACGTGTACCATCGTACCGTAAAATTGAATGTTTTTACGTGTCAAACCTTACACTTACCTGCACATTTCATTTCTTAAATGTTACAGGTTTATCGGTTTACAAAGAAGTTTTTGTAAAGACAGGACCAATAATCGGTGCCATTGATATGGACGTTAATAAAAATTCGGTAGTCAAAGCAGGTGCCCGATTATGTCAGCCCCGAGACATAATTCTGACAGTATGATCAATTCCTGTGAGTGATTGGTACCTCTGCTTGACTACAGAGTTGCCGCGAAAATGATCGTGCCCGCCTATATAACCTGCGGTACGCCGGTGAATGCACCTGCGTTCATTATGCGCCTCGAAACGCGAGCCCGATAAGAATATCCAATTTAAACGATCGTTTCATAATTTCATATCGGTTCATCGGTAAGCGGCGAATTTAATTCCCAGGTAACATGGTGCTCGTGTAGATACGTTTTGCAAACCAACGAGCGAAACGGTTTTTTCTCCAGATTCAACTAAGTTGGTCTGATTCTGTTGAAAGGTAGATTAGCTGCGGTAGCAAGAAAATCGCCGTACAATTACCATTCATACTGCAAACGTTTGAATATCTAATAGTATATGGATAGGATTTAAATTAGGGAAGATAACGGTTCCTTGCAATATGGTACAAGTGAAAGGAAATGAAAATCTATAATTAATTATTTTGAACTGTTTATTAATCAAATTTCCATTGTTTCAGGGCGATCGAGGTACTCTTGGAGGACCACGGATGACGCGTACGAAAATGGACGAAGCACGCGGATGGAAGGGTATATGGGAAGGTATACGGTAAGTGCACGTAGCGCTCATTAATAACGCGATTATTAGGCGCGGCGCCAGCCCCGTTACGCTATTCGGATCCTAACCTAATTGGCATGGACAATCGGCCACGCCATGAGCCGTTTCGTGCACCGATGAATTTATCTTCTTTCTTGCGGTCCGCGATGCGAGCCATAATTCTCTGACTCGCTGTTCCTACGACGAATAAATTTTTCCCCGTCCAAATAGGCGCCGCTATGTTACGCCCACGCTCGATGATCATACCAATCGGTTTGGTTATTTTCGTCGAAATATCGCACGTGACTTTTCAAACGGGTGAAAATAAGATCCGAGAATCGAAAAGATCCGAGCTACCTCGTCTCGTTTCGATCTTTCCTCGAAAATCTCACGGCATCGGTATCTCTGTGTACATGTTAGTCGCGTCCACGTGATTTCTCTGGAAATTTATACCCGTTCCGTAGCCGGTCGACCCGTTGATCATCGGGGCGTTCCTTTTGCGGCTCGTTTCTCATTGTATCGGGCCAAAAGTTGGTGTCGCAAAAAATCGTCACCTGGTCAGAACGAAAAGGAAGCTTCCCATTGGTCGACGTAGTGGTTGTATATCGGCGTGCACCGAGTGCCGGAAAAGGGATCCATGGATCATTGTTTTTGCAGGTAGACGGGAGACGGGACAGAAACGGAGGGCATAAATCCCTCGAGAGACTTTCATTGAACGTAATTGGATCGGGGCCAATCGTTGCGCTTCGTCCTCCTCGTCGTCGAAAGCTTTCTCTCTTTTTCTTGAAAATTGAATGGTGGCCAAATTGAAAATCACGATCGTTCGAGTCGATTAGATGACTTTCCGGCAACGAACGGGCGAAGATCGTTCGCGAGCGAATACTCTTCTCCGCGATTCGAATCTCAGGAGGAGTAAACGAGCTTCCGGTCGATCGCGGCTCGTTCCACGGACTCATAATTACAAGCTGGTTACGGTTTTCTCGAGAAACAAGCGCGATGAACATCGAAGGAGCCGGTTATCGGGACCTGTCTTGTTAGGACGGTATACATTTGCGATGATAACGATTGCGATTAAACCGTTGGAATTAATGCCTGCGCCGCGAACCGCGAACAGATAATCGCGCGGATAGGGGAGCGCGGAGAAAAAAAATCGCGTTACGCTACCCTGTTCCCCATAAAATTTGTACTCGTTAGCCTTCTCTTCCTTTCCGGTCTCCTCGCTACCGGCCACGAGTCTCCATCGAAATGACATCCTGGATGAACGTTATGGCGCCTTTTAATAGGATCATTCACTTGGAGAACCGAGATTACTTATCTTCCAACGAATACATTAGTTCTCTTGTCTCGCGAGACGTAAACGCCGCTTTTCTACTTTACGATCTCCTCCTTCTCGCGTTCGTCCTTATTTTTCTCACTACTTTCACCGAACACGACCGACGATTTACTTGCTGAAGAGTTGCTCGATCATCAGCCACCTTTTACGATGATAACAGATTTTTTGCCTTCGTTCGGAGACACTTCGTTTCTCGAAACGATGAAATTTGTGAAACCAGTTTAAAAACAAAGAAATGATTTTTTTTTGAATTTCAACCCTTTTGATTTTCCGCTTTGTAGATATTATAAAGGTATTAGGATTCACCATTAAAACGGAGCCGGCTCTGTTTCCAGTCACGTATCCCTCGTCTAATAATCCTCCGATCGTGCCACGTCCCTGTGTGCATACGCGTCCTAGCTTGCACTACCGTCAATGCAACCGTGATTTGCATACAATCGCGCGTCGCATGGCATCGACGTATCGTTTCGCGCGTTTTCGAGATTTCTTTTCTATACACGCGCCTCGACACGACCCACGAATGAGATATAACACCCGTCAGTCATTTATTTTTACTGCCCCGCTTGAAAAGGATCGACGATTGTGCGCGATGCAATAACTGGCACAAAGATGGTAGCTATTATTATTTATTGCATTATTTTCTCTTTGTTGAGTTACGTTTACGTTTTGTGTAATATTTGTTTAAAAGGGAATTGAGATTATTGCAAAGTTACTGTTATTAAATTTCACAATGGTGATGTAATTTATTATTTTCAAATTAAATTGAAAATTCTATTTTGTGATTCTTTGTTAGAAACACTTTAGGACACGGTTCCTGTTCGAAAAGGGTTGAAAATATTCGTGGTACGTGACGCTCGCGGGACCGTTACGCGAAGAAACGGTTATGCGGCAATAAATCTGCCCACCGACACTGATTGCTTCCATAAATCGATCGACTTATTAAATCAATTAAATCGATTTATTAATTTTGACGCAGAAACCGCGCCGCTCCTTCCCCTCCTCCTCGACGTCTATCCTTTTTTGATTGATTTATTGGCCGCAATCAATTTTCGCGCCGAAAGTTTCGCATGAATAAGTAATTTTTCGCCTTGCGTGGTCCCTCATCTTTGGCACTCGTCACGGAATTCGTCGAACGTGTTATCGACCACCTTTGCGATGATGAGGGCCATTTTAATAAACGGCACCGTCTTCGAAGTTCACCCGATAGCTTTCGCTAAACCGAAAATATTTACGATAATTATTAATGATGATTTTTACCCCGCTTTCATAAAAAGAACAAATGATTTCTATGAGCATCCACCAAGAAACGTCGATGAATAGGCGTTTCCACAACGAGATCGCGGATGATCAAGCAACTCGCGAGCAGGTCGGGCAAACAGCATCGATCATTCGGCTATCGCATGTCGATCGAGGATTTCTCGAAAGAATCAAAACCTTATGACTTCTAGATCGACGTAGTCTCAATAAAAAAAAGAAAGTGAAAGAGAAAAAACGCTTCTGATCACCGCTGTTCCGTTGGACGTTTCAAAGATCTTATCGATCATTCTCTTTCCCTGGCCCCGGGTTGTTTGTTGTATACATTACATCTGCATCGATCTCGATCACGTGTATCGATCTTTTATCGACACCAGATAATAAGCATCACGTTCAACGCGTCACGTTTATTCGAGCTTTTCGTCGTCATCCTCGCTGCTGGAATCGTGGATCTGTATCAATGTCTATCTGAATGGCACCCGACTGTCTTCGAGTGCTCCAATTTGTTTTCTGGCACACGCGAGCGCCACCTCATTGGACCTCCCGTCGTCATTGACTACTCAAGTCGCATTCAGAACTCTTAAATCGTTGTTCTGTATCGATGCCAAGGCATCTGTCGTTCGATCTTCGCCGCGGATCGCGTTTAGCTAGCTCGATCTTCAACGTGTACTCGATCTCCAGATTATTTTCGATCGACAGCTTAAATACGTCCACTGTTGCTGCGAAAACAAACGCGTTATAATTGTAATCACTCGGAATAGGATCGTTGCATTTAACGTGCTGGCTGCTGCAGTAGAAGTAGACATGCATAGTCGGACATCAGAACTCTGGTTCCAAATTCAAACTTTCAACTTTATATTTCATTAGCATGGTATTCAGGAGTGTTTACGCAAAATAACAACATATTTTCAGAGTATCCAGTTATCAGATAAGTCGTCCGCATAAAAATTAAGAAAACTTGTAAACTTGTCTACCTAGTTTTCTCTAATTCCAATTTTACTTTTTTTTATACAATGGTAGAATGATTACTATTAATAAGTTAGCGGGATTGGTAATGTAGCTAATAATTGCTGCGCTACCGAGTAGATCTCAACCGTAATAACTTGTTTTCCATCTACACTTATCTTCGTTCATATCTCATGCGTTGTCACTAATCACGATTTATCACCTTCGGCTGTTATCATAGAATTTCCTATTCATGCCTTTCGCCGAACAAGTCTATCGCATTAATTCGAAGTGAACTGTATAAATAAAATTAATGTAATTTCTAATTCTTTAACGGTATTCACGGAGTGGCGTTCAAGCTATCATAAATATCTTGTAACGCTTAATGCATTAGATAATCCTTGATTTACATCTTTTAACGAAGTTAATCATATATAGAGGTGCGCGTATAAATTTCCCGTAAATTGATTACATCCAAAGTTGATGATCCGATTCAGGCTCAAGGAGATAATGCAACGATCGTTCGATTCCTCGATCTGTCCAGTAAAAGTAGATTCTAAAATGGTGGTCGCTGTGAATACACCTTTAATCGTCGGTCCCTGCCAACTCCGCGGGATGCCATGCCTCGAGTCGGGCATTCCTGACACCCTGAAGTGGCTGTCGGAACCAGAAATGGAAAGGAAGAGAGAAAGAACGATAGGGGAGACCGTGGGTCGAACCGAGAAACCGAGAACACATCTAGAGTTCCGAAATAATAAGAAGAAAGTTTGCCACTTCGCGAGTGCCGCGTCCGACGAGAGTACTGGATCAAATCGAAGTCCAAACAGGAAATCCGGTTACATTGTAACGTTGTCTAAACGGTGGACTTGAAATTTAGGATACTTTCGCAGACTATCAGTGGGGTGTTTATTAAAAAATCTCGCGATTAACGTAAAATGATGGAACGGGATAAAATTTCGATAAAATAATATCGAAATGACCGACGGAGTCTTGTTGCGCGATATTTTAAGTGATATCGGGTTATTAATATCGCGCGTTAGGTGTCCCGTGCCTAAATATACATTTTTGGCGCGGGCCCAAGGCGATCTCCCTGGCTGGTTTTATCGCGGGGGGATAATGTTTTACCCGATAATTAGAAACTGTAGATCTCGGTAGGCGGGGCTGAAACGGCCGATAACTTTTAATTGGGACTCGAACCGGTGTACGTAATACGTCTCTTGCCGTGGCCACGTACTTTCAACATTCCTCACGGACGGCCGCGAGCCGGCCACCAGATATCTTAACAAATCGGTTCGAGTTCCCTTCGTTCGACTCCTTTTTTCCGTCTGTCCGTCCTCGTTTGCCCGCACGCTGCACGCTCTCGATCTTCCGTGGGCCTGCACTGATCTCTCGGTTCTACGGGAACTCATTAGTGCTGCCAGCTTGCTGGCCTCCTCCAGACGGAAACCGAACATCCGAGATCCTCGATCATTAAGACAAT